GGTTCAATCCCAAGTACCAAAAATAAAAAGCAAAAAATTCCTCTCTTTCAAGTATTTGCTGTGTATAACAATCTCATATAATCTAGGAGAAAAATTTGTGTACAAATTGATGTATATATATATATTTTTTTTAATAGCAATTAATTCTGTTTTCTTGGTTTTATTTCACAAAATTTTGCATCTTCATAGTTTATTTAGCAGCAGGTTTGTTTTTAGCCAGATTTGACAATGGTGGATTCCTCCACTGGCCCTTTAAGGCATATTCAGAGGTGGAAAAAAATAAATGTTTATGTAAGTGTACTGAGTGGGGGAAGGAACATCCCTGAAGGATGCACTGCGTGTGTGGGGCTCCGCAATTGCATGAGAATCACTTGGCACCTCAAAATACAGGCGTAGCCGAGAGGTTGAGCACTGCTCAGAAGGAAGGCTCTCAAAAAGAGGAGAAAATATGGTGTTTTTAATTTCCCAGGGCATACAAATTACCCAGAAACACAGGTCCATATGAAAAACAACATCACTGAAAGACGTCCCCTGTACTTTTTTTCTTTTAAGTTGCTACTAAGGGCTAGAGGTGACACAGTGGCAGAGGACTCACCAGCATGTGGGAGGCTCTGGGTTTGATCAAACCCAGATCTCAGCACCACATACACAAAAGCTATGTTGCTCAAGTTTATTGGCCTCTGGGCAGGTCTGTCTGTCATCTAGCCAGATCCTGCTGAATCAGGACAAGTATGTGTAAATGATTTCACTTGCTATTGGCCTCTCTCAACTTGGTTTTTTTTTTTTTTTTTTTTTTTTAAGAGAGAGAGAGAATTTTAATATTCATTTTTTAGTTTTCGGCGGACACAACATCCTTGTTTGCATGTGGTGCCGAGGATCGAACCCGGGCCGCACGCACGCCAGGCAAGCGCGCTACCGCTTGAGCCACATCCCCAGCCCCGTCAACTTGTTTTAAGAATCCTGAAGTTGTGTGTAATCCCAGCAACTCAGGAGGCTGAAACAGGAAGATTGCAAGTTCAAGGCCACCCTGAGCAATTAGTGAGACCCTATATCAAAATAAAAATATAAAATGGGCTGTCGAAATAGCTCAGTGGTGGAGCAACCTATATTCAGTCCCTAGTGTCACATACACACACGCACAGCATCCTGAAGTTAAGGAGCGGGGAGGGTAGCTCGGTGGCAGAGTGCTTGCCTGGCATGCGAGAGGCTCTGGCTTCCATCCTTAGTGCCCACCAAAAAAAGGAAAAGAATCCTTAGTGTGAGAATTTGAAGATAGAGGAGTCGGGGGAAACTTGTTTGCTGTGACTTGAGACCCTAAGTCCTGCCAGTCCTCACGGCCCTGTTAGAACAGTGCTGCGTCTCCCGGCCACTCTGGGTGGACTCCTGGACGGGGGCTGGACAAAAATAACCACGCCATGACTACAAGTTTGGAAGCTTTAGCCCTCCCTCCATCCTCCATAAAGCCCCTGAGCTTCTGGGGGCCAACATGTGGTGTGCTGGAGGGCACGCCCAGGCAGGCAGTAGCTGCATACCCCTTCCCCATGCCTTGCTCTCTGTGTCACTTCCCTGCAGTTTGTCACCTGTGGCCTTTATAGTATTCTTTGTAATAAATAGGTAAGCAGTCCTCTGAGCCACTCTAGCAAATTAATCAAACTGAAGGTCAGGATCATGGGAACCCTTGATTTAGAGCCAGTCGGGCAGGGATGCAGATCACAGCCAGGGGCTTTGAGCTGGCATCTGACGTGGGAGCAGTGCTGTGGGACCTGGCCTTGAGCCTGTGGGAGCTCCTGCTCTCCAGGTAGGGAGGTGGCATCAGAACTGGTTTGAATTATAGGATCCCCGCCTTGGTGACCCCTGGAGATCTCTTGCTGTTTAAGGAAACCCCTGAATACCTGGCATCGGAAGTGCAGTACAGATGTGTGTAGGGGTGAGAGTAGGGAAATCAGTTTGTGTTTCCTTTCGCTTTCATAACTTCAGTAGATAACAGTAGGGCACTAGCAAAGTAGCTTGATGACCCAGTTCCAGTGTGCCCTGCTCTGCCCAGCTCTCTTCTGATGCTAAGTACACGTCAGTGAACAAAACAAAGATTTTTGCCTTCGTGAGGCCTCTGTTCTGGAAGGAAAAGGCAGGCAATAAGTAATCAACAGAGGCTGAGGCAGGAGGATCATGAGTTCAAAGCCAGCCTGATCAAAAGCGAGGTGCTAAGCCCTCTCTAAATAAAATACAAAATAGGTCTGGGGATGTGGCTCAGTGGTCGAGTGCCCCTGAGTTCAATCCTCAGTACCCCAAAATAAATAAATAAATAAAAATCAACAGAAAAGGGTGGCACCTGTTGTATGTTAGAAGAAGGGAGCAGGGGCCAGGGTCTAACTCAGTGGTAGAGCACGTGCTTAGCACCTGCAAGGCCCTAAGTTCCATTCCCAGCACCACAAAAGACAACAGTAAGCCTGCGCTGCTCCGTAGGCAGAGGCAGGAGGATCGCTAGTTCTAAGCCAGCCTGGGCAACTTTGTGAGACACTGTGTCAAAAAGGGCTGAAGGTGGAGCCCAGCGGGAGAGCACCTCTAGGTTCAATCCCCAATACTGGGGGGGGGGGGGGGGCAGGGAGGGGGAAGAACACAGGATAGAGTAAGCACTGTGACAGGAGTGAAAGCAAGCAGGGTGCAGGGCCCTGCACGTGGGGAGTGCTGCTTCACACACTGGGCCAGGTTGACCCGTGGCTAAGGGCAGCTCCTTGAAGCTGATGAGGAGTGAGAGGGAAGATGGGCACCCCAGCAAGCGCCCCCAGCGCCAGGCCCAGGCAGGAACACACTAGCTAGCGTTCATACAGGAGCAAAAGTGCAGGGATGGAGCAAGCTGTAGGAGGAGTAGACCCAAGGCAGAGGGGACCAGGAACCACAGCACAGTGGGTTCTGTTGGCCTGTTTGTGGATCGTGGGTTTTATTCTGAGTGAAATGAGTGAGTCTTTGCAGGGTTTGAGCTGAAGAGCATTGTGAACCATTTTTATGATTTAGAAGGAACCACCCAATAACTATGTTAAGAATAGACTGTCAGAGCCAGGCATGTGGCGCAGGCCTGTGATCCAGCCATCAAGGGGCAGAGACAGGAGGATGACAAGCTTGAGGCCAGCCCTGGGCAACTTAGCAAAACCCTGTCTCAGAATAAAAATCAAAAAGGGCTTCCATGCATGTATGAGTTTGTCAGAATGAACCCAACAACTGTGTGTAACTATAAGACTCTTACAAAAAAAAAAAAATAGTAATTTAAAAAATTTAAAGGGCTGGGGATTCGTTTCAGTGGTAGAGCACCCCTGGGTGCAATCTCCAGAACCAGAAAGAAAGAAAAAGAAAAGCAGGCAAAACCAAAAGGCAATCTAGGAGATTAGTATAGCCACCCAGGCTAGAGGGGGGTGACTCGGGATAATAGAAGCGATTTAAAAAAAAAAAAAAATAGTCAAATTCTGGCCACACTCTGAAGAGAGAACCATCAAGACTTGCTGACAGATTGGACGTGGGATGTGAGAAGTTGGAGAAGTGGAAGATGACTCCTCAGATGTGTGGCCCCAGTAACAGGAACGAGGGAGTCACCAGCTGAAGTGGCAGAGGCGTGGGCTGAACAGTCATAGATCAGGAGTTGCGCTTTGAAGCTCAAGAGTCTGTTAGGGGCTGGGATATAGCTCAGATGGTATAGTGCTTGCCTCACATGCACAAGGCCCTGGGTTCAATCCCCAGCACCACAAAAATAAATTAATTAATTAATTTAAAAAGTCTATTAAACATCCAAATGAAAATGTTCACTTGTTATTTGTTGGCCATTAATCTTTCACGTGAGTAGATTAATCTTCCAGTGAGTAGCAGAATACTAGCCCTCTAGATACATTGGTTGAATCAAAGAACAAGAGAAGTTATTCTTATTAAGGAAATAAGGATTAGATGACCCCCACTTTATTTTAGGCATACTGTACATACAGAACAGCGACAAACAGATACCAAAATATTAACAGGTCAAGTGGGATGTGGGTTTTCAAGTGATATTAACTTTATAGTTTCTTTTACTTTTCCAGGAATCTGTATTTTACTAATATCTCAATAAAATAATTTCTATAAGCCAGGCATGGTGGTGAATGCCTGTAATCCACGTGGCTCCTGAGGCTGAGGCAGGAGGATCACAAGTTCAAAGCCAGCCTCAGCAACTTAACGAGGCCCTAAGTCAACTCAGTGAGACCCTGTCTCTAAATAAATACAAAACAGGACTGGGGATGTGGCTCAGTGTTTAAGCACCCTGGATTCACTACCCAGTACCAAGATGATGATGATGATGATGATGATGATGATGATTCCCAAAATTAGAAGTAACAGACTTGAGATATATGTGCTTCTTAATATTGCCATTTTGTGGGACTGGGTTTGTAAATCAGTGGTAGAGTGCTTGCCTTGCATGCGCGAGGCACTGGGTTCGATCCTTAGCACCACATAAAAATAAATGAAGATATTGTGTCCACCTAAAACAAAAAAATAAATATTTTTTAAAAAAGATATTGTGTCTATCTACAACTAAAAAAATATTTAAAAAATAAGCAAATAAATAAATATTGCCATTTCTGCAGAAAAACTGACCAATCTAGAATTTCAACAATGAAAATACAAGCCAGTCTGTTAGAATGGTGCTCTCTCCTGCCGGGTGCAGTGGTGCACATCTGTGATCCCTGCTCCCCAGGGGCTCAGGCAGGAGGAGGATTGCAAGCAAGGTGAACCTGGGCAACTTAGTAAGGCCCTATCAACTTAGCAGGACCTGTCTTAAAAAAGGAAAAGGGCTGGGGATATGGCTCAATGGTAGAGCACCCCTGGGTTCAATCCCCAGTACCAAGGAAGGAAGGGAAGGGAGAGGAAATTCTCTCCTGCTAAGTCAGTTTTAATTTCACACTGAAAACTTCCTTGTCAGTGTTTCTCCCAGCTGCCGTGGGACACACAGAGCCTACATGTAGATTTTTCATACTTTGCAGGTGTGGGAATCGGCGTGGTCCATGCTGGGTACGAGAGACGCCTGGCCCATCACCTGGGAGCACACAGCACACCCTCTATCCTAGGAATCATAAATGGGAAAATCTCCTTCTTCCACAATGCAGTTGTTCGTGAGAACCTCCGGCAGTTTGTAGAAAGCCTTCTTCCAGGGAACTTGGTGGAGAAGGTGAGTATCTGGGGAGAATATGGCAGGAAGTGGTTTACCAGGTGCCTGGCTGCCCACAGTCTACCTGTGACACTCTCAGACTTGAGTTTCATTTTGAACAGGATAAGATATATTAATTGATCACTTTAAAATGAATCATTTAAATGAAAACTGTAGGAGACTGAAACAGATGAAGTACAGAGACTGAACAAATTCATTCATGTTAATAAGCGTCTTGCAGATTTTACCTTGTTATAGGTAAAATTTCATTTGAGCCAAAATGACTTGTTTTCTAGTCAACAACAACAACAAAAAAATTAGATCCCATAATAGGATAAAAGATTTCTTTGTGGCTCATGAATTGGTTCATGCAGAGTTATTTGTCTTGTGAAAATATTCAAATAAAATTACATTTGCTCATGCATTGAATGTTCATATCTATAGAAAACACCAGATTCCATGAACTCAGTTATTGTTTTGGGGTCTCTGAAAACTTACAGTGATACAACAATATGGATGAAATTCATGAAGAAAAACTTGATCTAAAGAAATCAGACATACAGGGCTGGAGTTGTGGCTCAATAATCGAGCACTTGCCTTGCATGTATGAGGCACTGGGTTCAATCCTCAGCACCATGTGTAAGTAAATGAATAAAATAAAGGTCCATTAACATCTAAAAAATTAAAAAAAAAAAAAAAGAAACAGACATACAGTTCATATTAGTTTTTGATTTGTATATTTAAGCACCTTAATGTTTTTCCAAGTGTGTTAGGATAGGGATCAAAGCAACTAGGAAAGGGCTCTTATTGTACTTTAAATAATTCATTCATTCACAATACCAGAGAGGAATTATAAAAATTTCTATAATATTTTTACCTGGGCTGTTTACTGACTGTCCCACCAGGGTTATCCACAGGAGAAAGATTTGTTGGAGTTGGCTTAAAAGGTCAGAGAGCATCACAGGCTCCTAAAAAGATGAGAGGTTGTTACGATAAGTTCTGAGACATTTATAAAACATCTGTTCTTGGGGTGGGGCGGTGGCTTAGTGGTAAAGTGCTTGCCTAGCATGTGTGAGGCCCTGGGTTCGAACCTCAGCACCACATATATAAATAAAATAAAGGTATTGTGTCCATCTACAACTAAAAAATGTATTTAAAAAAAAAAATCTGTTCAGTGCCAGGTATAGAATAGTGTTGAGGACACTTTCTGAGCAGCTCCTGAGCTAGAGGAGCTGCGTATTTCCATCCAGTGTTTTGGAGCCCATCCTAAGAATTGGAAAAGGCTTCTTTACAGAAATGGTACCTATAGTGAGTTTGGCAGGTAAGGTGAGAAAAGGAGGGAGTGAGCCGCAGGCTCCTTGGTGAGTGGGTTAGATGGGTTTACAGGAACCTGGCTGGGAGAGCCTCAGAGTACCTCCAGGCCCTGCAAGAAACCTGGAAGAACAATTCAAATGTGGAACTTCTAAGTGAAATTACCTGAGGTACAGTGGGATGGGCTACCTTATTTTTATTTATGCCATTTAAAAATGGCAAGTATCAACCGGACGCAGTGGCGCACACCTGTAATCCCAGCGGCTTGGGAGGCTGAGGCAGGAGGATCACAAGTTCAAAGCCAGCCTCAGCAACAGCGAGGTGCTAAGCAACTCAATGAGACCCTGTCTCTAAATAAAATAGGGCTGGGGATGTGGCTCAGTGGTTGAGTGCCCCGATTTCAATCCGGGTACTGTCCCCCAAAAAATAAGTAAATAAATAAAATGGCAAGTATCAAATATCTTTGGTTTTAGTAGATCAAGAAGTACACTCTCAGGTGTTGGTAGTAGAGTACATGCTTGCTTATTAGCATGCAGGAGACCCCTGCATTCAATCCCCACCATGGAAAAAAAAAATTACATTCTACCATTAAGCAAGAATCAGCTGGGTGCAATGGTGCATGCCCGTAATCCCAGCAACTCCAGAGGCTGAAGCAGAAGGATCAGAAGTTCGAGGCCAGCCAGCACAACTTAGTGAGATCCTGTCTCAAAATAAAAAATGAAAAGGGCAAGGCTAGGGAAGTGGCTCCGTGCTTGAACACAACTACCCCCACCCCCACCCCCAGGTTCAATCTGCAGGACCGGGGAAGAAAAAAGTTGTCTGTATTTTTTACGTTTTGCAGACAATCTTTTACACATATCTAGTTTTTTAATTTATTTTACGACTGGAGTATAATATAGTTGTTAAGAATAAATATTGAGGGCTGGGGATGTGGCTCAAGCGGTAGCGCGCTCTCCTGGCATGTGTGCAGCCCGGGTTCGATCCTCAGCACCACATACAAACAAAGATGTTGTGTCCGCCGATAA